TTGAGGATATTTAGTTACCCTGGATCCATTTCCCTCTCCCCAGCTTCAGACGTATCCTTGACAATGAACATTTACATTCTTGGTCCAGGAGGGAGAAGAACTCCCCATTCCTCAGGAAAGGTCACTATTTGCCCTGTCTGCTGGTTACCTGGGAGACCCCATCCAAAAGGTTTGTCCTCACTTGAACTTTCCAGGGCTGAAGCCTCTCCTCATAGGGCACTTGTTCAAAGTGACTCTGTGCCCAAGGCATTAGCTTCAGGGCCCAGGAGAAATGTTTTTTTTTTAAGTTTTTTTTGTTTTTTATATATATATATTTTTTTTTTCTAGAGGCATGTCTTATTTATTTATTTATTATTTGTTTGTTTGTTTGGTTTATACATGCACTGGGTACAGTCAGAAGCGTGGGAGGGTGAGAGAATTCACCAGAGCCAGAGCGGGGAGCAGAGCAGGCAGAAGGACCGAAGTACACTGCTGAGGGGAGCAGCGGGCGGCAGGAGAGGTCTGCCGCCATGTGGGACCCTCCTCCGGTGGCCGGGGAGCAGCCGGGGATGGAACCGGCTGCAGAGGCTGCAGGCAGCTTCGCAACCCAGCGCTCAACCGCTGCGCCACCGGGGAGGCCCCAGGAGAAATGTTTTTAATGACATTTGGCTGAGGTTGGTCCATCAATTGCCCCCCAAATACAGTGGGTAAGGAGAGGCCAAAGGAGGAGGTAGATCATATCAGATTGGTAGGAGGCAATTTTAATAAGCAAGGGGGCACACTTGTCCCTGTGTGGATGTGCTTCAGGGTGAGTAGATGTTCGTATGTGCCCACCAGAATCTCTGGAGTTTCTCGCGAGACCTCAGCTCTCTAAACCATCTGGATGGTTCCAGCCAATTGTTGTTCTTGCAAGACTGTTTTTGAACACAGTCCCCCACTGCAGCAATGGTGGGTAGAACAGATTGTGGGTGGGGGGAAGGGTGAGCTGCCTCTGACTGCCTGGGGCCATTCACCCTGGTCAGTTCTGGGTCATGGCCTCTTCAGGACCTCCTCCAATGCACATGGCCATGGATGACAGTAGAGGCAAATAAATAGCCTAATCAAATATCTTACAAAGAAAATTCTAAAGAATGAGATGTCATCAGGGGCTTTGAAAATTTTGGCACATCCCTGGAATGTGGAAGGTCATGTGCATGTGCAGGCTGTGGGAGGCGGCCCCAAGTTCTGTGGCTGGCTGGCTTTGAGGCTCCATGGAATAAGCCTCACATGCACACTTCCTGGGTGAGGGTTGAATGTGTGTTTGAACACACAGAGACTCTCTGCAAAGGCTAGGAGAATTTTCCTTTCAGGCATTCAAGGAAATCTCTTTCCAGTCATCTGCTAACTACCAAGCTAGCTGAGTTTTTTGTGGCCACACATGACAGCGAATATAGACTTCAGGGAAGTAGTTCAAAAAACTCATTTAATAAACAAAAATCAACAATTACAACAGCAGTAGCAGCAAATCTTTGGAAGAGGGTGACTTATTTCCATAGTTGCTGTTTATTATGTGAAATATCTAGTTTGCAACCAAAATTAGGAGACCTATAGAGAAATCAGGACACATTACCCAGACATGGAGGGAACAGGGGATAGAAACTATCTCTTAGAAGGCTCAGATGTTGGCTTTACTAGACAAAGACTTTAAATCTTGTTACTTTTAATATGTTTAAGAAAAACTAAAGGAATACACATCTCAAATCTACAGAAAAGTATAAGAACAATACACCACCAAATAGAGAATATGATATAAAAACTAAATTATCAAAAAGAACCATATGGAAATGCTGCAGCTGAATCATAAAATAAGTGCAATGAAATTTTACTAGAGGGCCCAATAGCAGAATGGACAAGTAAAAGAAAGGACTGGCAAAAATTCAGTTAGGCCCATTGAGATTTTCCAGTGTGGTGAGTAAGAAGAAAAGAGTGAAGAAAAATTAACAGTGCCTCCGATAATTTGGGGTGCCTCTAACATGCCAACATATGAATCATGGGAGTGTCAGAAGGAGAGTAAGGACAGATTGGGGCAGAAAGAATATTTGAAGAATAATGACATTGAAACTTTGAAAATTTAATGAGGAGAGTTAGGCTATCCATACACAAATTCAATGAACTTCCAATAGGATAAACTTAAGAATTCAACACTTAGACACATAACCAACTGTTAAAAGACAAAGACAAAACAGAGAATCTTGATCGCTGTAGGAGAGAAATGTCTCATCATGTATAAGTCATCCTCAATGAAATTAACTTTTTTCTTATCAGAAGCCATGGAGACCAGAAAGCAGTGGGATGAATTATTCCAAATGCTGGAAAAAAAAAAAACTCAAACCTGTCAACCACAAATTTCATATCAGCACAACGATATGATTCAACCTTAGAGAGGAATAAAGGACTGCCATATGCCACAACATGGATGAACACTGAAGATGTTAAATAAAGAAGTCAGAAACAAAAGGGTGTTGTATGAATCTTTTTTACAGTAAATATATACAATAAGCTAATCCATAAATACAGAGAGAAAATTAGTGGTTTCTGGGCCTGGTGGATATGGGAATTGGGAGTGACTGCTTAAGAATTACCAGGTTTCCTTTTCGAACAATGAAAATGTCCAGAAAAAGGGCCTCCCCGGTGGCGCAGCAGTTGAGCGCTGGGTTGCGAAGCTGCCCGCAGCCTCTGCAGCACCGGTTCGATCCCCGGCTGCTCCCCGGCCAACGGAGGAGGGTCCCGCATGGAGCACAGACCTCCCCTGCTGCCCACTGCTCCCCCCAGCAGTGTACTTCTGGTCCTTCTGCCTGTTCTGCTCCCTGCTCTGACTCTGGTGAATTCTCTAACCCTCCCGCGCTTCTGACTGTACCCAGTGCTTGTATAAATAAATAAATAAAATAAAATAAATCTTTAAAAAAAAAAGTTTCACTTTAAAAAAAAAAAAAAAGAAAATGTCCGGAAATGATAGAAAGGTGGTGACTGTACAACATTCACAACATTGTGATTGTACTCAATGATGCTGAGTTGTACAGTTAAAATGGTAGATTTTATGAATATACATAGATTTAGATGTAGAACATCTAAATATTCTACACTTAGAACTTTTAGTACAATAAAATAACATTTTATTTTATTTTTTATTTTTTAAAATATTTATTTATTTATGCATGCAAGAGCTGGGGTGTAGGCCAGAGGACCAGAAGAGTGAGAGGATTCACAAGAGACAGAGTGGGGAGCAGAAAAGGCAGATCTACTGAAATAAACTGCTAAAGGGAGCAGTGGGTGAGACAGAAGAGGTTTGCTACACTGTGTGGGTCAGTTCCCTGGCTGGGGATTGAACTCGTGCTGTGCTGCAGTAGCTGTGGATAGCTTCATAGTCCTGAGGCTTATCCCCTTGTGCCACTAGGAAGGCCCAACATTTTATTTTATTAACATAACATTTAGAACAATAATATAAATGAAGGGGTCATTTGGGATGAAATAGAAGATCACGAGAGAGGAACTCAAATGCACACAGAGACAAAAGAGCACCAAATAAAGATAAATACATAGATAAATATAAAAAACAGTAAAAACGTATATTTTGTTTTAACTCCTTATTTTCCTCTCTGATTTAACACAACTACATCATACAATACAATAGTTATAATTTGTTAACGTAGCACAGTAATTAGAAATCTAATTGGATGGCCATACATGTATAAAGCTATAATGTGTGATCATAGCAGCATAAAGGGAGGATATAGGAATGATATGAAACAAAGTTTTGTATACTTTTAAAATTAAGTTGGAATTTATTAGAATTAGAGTGTTATAAATTAACATGTTAACAGTAATCATAAAGTCAACCACTAATAATTCAAAAATATACAGTAAGAGAAAAAAGAGAATTAAAATGATCCACTAGAAAACATCTATTAAATGTAAAAGAATAAAGTAATGGTGGAATTAAGGTTACAAAAAGATATAAGGCATACAAAAACATAGAACAAGATGGCATATTAAACCCTATCTTATTTGCAATTACACTAAATATAGAGAGGTTAAACTCTCATTAAAAGACAGAGATGGAGGGCCTCCCCAATGGTGCAGCAGGTTGAGCACAGTGCTGGGAGGCTGTCTGCAGCCTCCGCAGCACCGGTTCAAATTCCTGGCCAGCTAGGGAGATTCCCACATGGCAAGGCAGACCTCTCCTGTCTTGTCTGCTGCTCCCTTCAGCAGTATACTTTGGTCCTTCTGCCTGTTCTGTTTCCTGTTCTGGCTCTGGTGAGTTCTCTCACCCTCCCATGCCTCTGTCCTGTACCCCAGTGCTTGTGTAAATAAATAAATCTTTTTTAAAAAAAAAAGAGATGGACACAATGAAGAAAAATGGTGGTGCAATTAATTTCTGTCCACAAGATACTCACTTTAGATTAAAAAATAGTAACATATAAATAATTGAATCAGATGGAAAATGGGGATTTCATACATAAATTGAAAGTTGGATGTACATAATTTCCAAACCGACTGTACAAAATACTGAGTAATTACAAAGAGAAAAGAAAATAGCGCGGTGTAGTGGTTATAGAAGGGACACAGGGGTCAGCTTGCCTGGCTCCAGCTTCCAGCACCACTACTTATCAGCTGTGTGTCCCAGGCAGTTGTTGCCCTCTCTGTTTCTCAATTTCCTCCCCTATAAAGTAGGATAGTAACTAAAGCCTTATCACAGGCCTATTGTGAGAATTGCCAGTATCCCCTAATTGACACTTCCCTGTGGGGAAGTGTGGGGCCCATGCTAGGGGCTATCACGACTGCGGATCGATCCATCTATGTCTGTTTCTATCACCTGTATTAGACCTCACGGGAATAGTATACAGCAGGGCAATTTCTCACAGCTGAGGAAACTGAGGCTTCAATTAGGTGAAATTCTCAGGACTGAGTAGAGGCAAAACAGGGCCTTCTAGATGCCCCACCCTCCCAGCTGTGTCGGCATTTCATGTCTCCCCCAACTTTTCTGGGAGGAAGTGGAGTCCACATCCAGTTCCCTGTTCTTTCCAAGCTGAAGAGCAAGGATCTGCGGAGCAGCTGAGAGGGCAACGCCCGGGGCTATCGATACCAAAGCCCGGAGAGGAGGCACCAGACAGGGCAGGGAGCAGGGAGGATGGCTGAGATGTACAAAGCCATGGAGCTGGGCGACCAAGGTGAGGCTGGGTGACGGTTGGGAGGACGGTCTCTCCAGGGTCCTGGGCTGTCCAGGGCTGGCCTCCAACCCGCAGTCCCGAGAGCTGGGCTCGGCAGGTGTCACAGCTCAGCTGAGCGTGTTTACTCCTTCTAGAGAACATGCTTGGGGCCCAGAGGTCTGCTGGTCCGCTTGGCTACTTGAGAAGACTGGCAGGTGCGAGGGCGGAGGCTGAGGATGGGCGGGAGGCTGGATGCCCTCTGCAGCTCGGGCAGTGGGCAGGGTCTGTCCTGAGCCCTCAGCTCCCTCTGTCCCGGGTCCCTCAGGGTATCTGACGCGGGGCTCCCTTTCTCTGGTGCTGCTTCTGGCCTCTGTGGGCCTCTTCCTGTTCCTGGTGACCATCCTGGTTCAAGGCGAGTCAGGGGCTGGGCGTGGGGTCCCGGGTCCCTTTGGGTTTCCCTCTGGCACGGCCTTTGCCCTCCCACGGCCCTCGGAGGCACGGAGGCTGCCGTGTCGGGCTCGTGTCCCTCCGGTGTGATCGTGGCCGTTACTGCCCCTTCCGGGCCTGGGTGTGAAACGCCGCTCATGCCGCGTGGGAGGCTCAGCCGGGAGACACGTGGGCACCGGAGGGCCCAGGCCCTGCTGTCCGGCGCGCGCGAAGGGGGCTTCTCTGCTCCGTTGCAGTGTCCAGGGTGCAGCAGTCCCTGCAGAGGGAGGCCGGGGGCCGCCGGAGGAGCCTCAGTGCGGGTAAAGGGCTGGGCCGTGTCTGGGGCGCAGCGGAGGAGGCTCTGCGGCTGCGGGCCGGGCAGGCTCGGGCTCAGGGGCGGCGGGAGGCGGGGAGCGCGAGGGGAGCAGCAGGTGGAGTCCGGCCCGTCCCTCAGAGCCTCGGCTCTCGTGTGGAAGGTTTCTGGCGTCAGGGGGAGAGTCAACTAACGTTCTTCCGGACAGTCCACCCCGAGCAAATAGTGGGCGCTTAAAAATTGAGCCCTTTCCTTCCAGTGGCCGTTTCCCAAGAGCAGATACGGGCAGACCTGGCGACGCTCCGCCAGCAGCTGGCCTGGATGAACGCCAGCCTAGGTGAGGTCAGACGCCCCGGCAGGGGAAGCTGGGGCAGCGGGGGGCTGTGGCCACCGTCTAGGCTGCCCAGTGTGAGGAGGGCAGGCGGAGCTGGGAGCCTCCTCTTGGGCCCTGGGGACAGAGCTAGCAGGGCCAGGCTGGGGGTACCCAGATGCAGGGCCAGGGGGCGCGGGAGCCAAGTGACCTGTCTGACCCAGTGCACCCTCCTCCCCAGTCAGCTTGTGCCGGCCCTGCCCCTGGCACTGGGAGCTCTTCCAGGGAAGCTGCTACCTCTTCTCCAGGTCCCAGCGCACCTGGGAATCTTCCGTGTCCGCCTGTGAGGACATGAGCGCCCAGCTGGTGGTGGTCAACACTGCTGACGAGCAGGTGCGCAGGTCCCGCCTGGGGCTGGGCCTCTGGTCAACACGCTGTTTCTGCACCTTCTCTACCCCTCAACAGTGGAGGCCCTGTGGGTAGTTGGCGGTGGGGCGAGACGCAGTCAGAGAAGGCTTCCTGTAAGAAGTGCCACGGTGGACTTGAGAAGCCCTTGAGGCCTCTTTCAGATGAGAAGGGACGACACAGGAAGGCTAGAGAGCAGCGAGTACCCCCTAGGAGGCTTGCTACCAGCTGGTGGTGTTCAGGGGCCTTTCTCCTGTACCCCCCCGCATCCCCCCCTCAGAAGTTCCTACAGTCTTGGGAAATAAGAAATGAGAAGCGCACCTGGATCGGCCTCAGTGACCGCCACACTGAGGGATCGTGGCAATGGGTGGACGGCACACCTGTGGGTCTCAGGTAACCGCCCTCCCCCAGGCCGTGGCCCGAGAGGGGTGAGCAGAGAAACGTCCTACACCCCACCCCAGGGCTGCTCAGACTCTGGGCTGGAAAGAGTCACCCGAGGGGCTGGTGGAAATGCAGGGCTGGCTCCTCCCCCCGCGGGAGTGTGAGCTCTGACTCAGGCTCCGCTTCAGGGAATCCCAGCACTGACGGAGCCTGAGCTGAGTCTGCCGTGAGGAAAAGCCTGCCTCTGAGTCTCCCACCCGCCTGGGGCTGGACTTGCAATTTTGCAGCCAAGTGGCAGCAGGCGTGGCCCCAGGGTGCTGCCCAAGGGTGGGGGGGCAGTGGCTAGTGGGGGCTCACAGCTCTCCTGGTGGTCACAGCTTCTGGAAACAAGGAGAACCCAACAACCACGGAGACGAGGACTGCGTGGAGCTGTACAATGACGGCTGGAACGACGGCTTATGTCATTTAGAAAAAGCCTGGATCTGCGAGATGCCCTCATCTCCCTGCCCTGTCCCCTGAGGGACACTGTCCCTGCAGCCCCCCCTTCTGCCCCCCTCCAGCTGTGATTAGGCAACTTGGGCTTGTCCTGCCTGCTGTTCTGGGCCCCACCTTCTTCTGTTTCCTCTTCCTAAACTGAGATCTTTAGGTCCTGAAAGACCCTGAGACACCCCTCCTCCTGCTCCATGCCCACCCCACACAGGCTAGAGACACCCCTCTCCTTACTGTGGGCTCAGCCTCCTCTTGTCTCCAGGCCCGACCCCTCCCTTAAATAAAGTCCCCATTGCATGTGTGTCCCGCTGGGCTTCCTGTCACTCCTTGGGTGCCGCTTCAGTTTCTGTAGTTTGATAGTGTGTTTGATGCGCGCTAGGACGTTGTTTTTGCTCAGTGTTTTTCTCTACTACCATGTATTTTATTTCCCACATACAATTTTCGATCAATTTGTAATTTTTGGTGGGAATAGACATAGTCATATATGTTTGTGCATGTTTGTACGTATGTTCTGTTTATTAATGAGCCAATGTCCTTCAGTAAGGCTTGATGATTTTCTTCGCAAATTGCATGAAGCCAATGGAACCACGCGCAAAGATTAGAAGGAACATCTCAGGCTCACGAGGACTGGGTGGTCTGAAGCCCACCATCATGGCCCTGGAACATGAGCAAGAAATCGCTTCTGTTGCTCTGATCTGCGTGGGGCTTGTCGTTCCTGCGGCACCGTGCGGCCTAAGCTGACTGATACAGGCAACATGTCTGGTGAGATGCCCCCACGTCCAGCGGTAGCCCCTGAATGTCAGTGGAGCCTCCCTGCTCACATGCAAGGTGGCCAGGATGTCAGAGAATGATGACCCCCCCACGGCCCCAGAGCAGCCCTTTCCATGACTGGTGTGAATGAGCAGCTCAAGCCCCCACTGGCCCTTGGGGAAGCAGGACTGGGCCTGCAGACCCGCAAAGCTGGCTTGCTTGTGAACACACCCTTCTGTGTTCCCTTCCCTTCCGCCTCACTTCCCCCTGCCTCGGACCTCCTCCCAAGGGGAGCACACTGTGCCCCCAGCCTGGTGTCAGCAGAGGGAGAACACACTAAAACACAGACTAAATATAAACCGCCCTCCGTCATAAAAAGTTATGAGTTAGAGGAGCAGGTACTTCTTTTACTTTGTGCTTTTTTTTTTTTTTAGACTTACCAGAAAAGTTGGAAAAATAGTCCCAGAGCTTCCATACACTCTTCAGCCAACTTCCTCCCCTGTGGGCTCAAGAAGTACAGTATCTTGTCAAAACCAGGAAGTGCTGAGATGTAATGAGTAACTCAACTGACTTGGTCTTTTTTGGCTCGGGATGCTGCAGTTTTCCTTGTCACTTCTCCTTAGTCTCCCTGCTCTGTGACCGTCAGTCTTTTCTGTCTTTTCTGTCTTTGACAGTTTTTTATAAATACGGACCCATTAGTCTGTCAGTGGTCCCTCAATTTCAGTTATCTGTTTTTTTTATGATTATAATGAAATTATCCTTTTTTTGAAAAAAGGGGCCCACACCGGGATGCTTTGACATGCCTCGATTTACATAGTGGCGCTGTGTCTTATTTTTGGTGTTGTTAGCCTCGATACTGGGTGACGGTGGTGCCCGCGAGAGTTACATCCTTGTGAAGTTATTACTTCCCTCTTGGTAAGGGGTAAATATCTTGTGAGGAGATACTCTGAGACTTAGAAAATATTTAATTTCTCATCTCTGGATTCCAGATCCCATCAATGGACCCTGCCTGTGTCCATTACTATTATTATTTTTAGTGGTGATTTTTTTTCTTTTCTTTTTTTTTTTTTAAAGATTTATTTATTTATACAAGAGCTGGGGTACAGGGCAGAGGTGTGGGAAGGTGAGAGGATTCACCAGAGATAGTACGGGGAACAGAACAGGCAGATGGATCAAAAACACTGCTGAGGGGAGCAGCGGGCGAGCCAGGAGAGGTCTGTTGTGCCATGTGGGTATTTCCCTGGCCGGCCAGGAATTGAACTGGTGTTACAGAGGCTGCAGACCTCACAGCGCTGCACTCAACCCTCTGAGCCACCAGGGAGGTCCAGTGATTTTTTTCTACTGTTCTCAATATTCTACTTTTATTAATCAAATTCTCTATGGAATCTCTAAGAGATTACCTTCTTCTCATTTTAAATATATTTACTTATGTATTCATTCTTATTGCATATCTTTCACCTTTTACTCTGTCATCATCTATCAGGTCCAGGCCCTGGAGAGAAAACATTCTCCTTTCCTCCCTCCCTCCCTAGATCCCAGGTCCTTGGTGGCTACTGCATATGGAGCTGAGTTCCTAGGGCTTGTGTCGGAGCCAGATTCCAGCTCTCCTGAGTCCCGGAGGGCCTCTGGCAGCTGCTCCGGTGCAGCTCCACAAGGAATTCTCCAGGTAGGCAGGCAGGTCGGCCTCCCACACCACCTTTTAGACCTTATGGGGGTGCCTCCATCAGGCCATTACCTCCAGCCCCTGGTCCTTGACCACTGCAGCCAGTGCTCCAGCTTTAGGTGCTGGCTTGGAAGTGAGCCTGACATGCAAGATGTGGTTGTCAGCACGCCCCGGGCAGAAGCTGGCCACACCCTTGCCCAGTTTATTAACCAACTTGAGGTTCAGGCAATCCTCCATAATTGAGTCCATCAGTCACGCTCCTACCACTGTGGACACTGGGAGGCCATTCTGGTCCACCTCCATGGCTGTATGGGTGACCTGGTGCCCAACCAGTGTTGTGCTTCTCAGTGATAAATGCTTCTTGAATGACCAGTTAGGGACATTATTTACCAACTTGTTACTTGGGAGATTTCTCCTCTTTATGGCAATCCTGCCTTCATCCTTTTTGGTCAAAATCAGATGGCAGTTTCTAGACCCTCGTGGGCAGAGGCCTGCTTCTTGGGCTTTGGCACTTATTCCCAACTAAATTCCCCCATGACTCTCATTCACATGCTGCTGTGGACAGAATGCTTGCCCTCTGCCTCCCAAATCATATGTTGAAGGCCTAATCCCAAGGGGGTGGTATGCCTCTTCATACCTTCTGGGAGGTGTTTTGGTTTAGATGAAGTCAGGATGGTGGAGTGCTCGTGACGGCACTAGTGTCCTTAAAAGAAAGGAAGAGACAGAGCAGAGTTCCTGCTTCTCTGGCGGGAAGACACAGCAAGAAGGCGGCCATCACCGGCAGGAGGTGCTCTCAGCAGGGATCGCCTCTGCCGGCATCTGATCTTGAACTTCCAGCCTCCAGAACTGTGAAAACAAAGGTCTGTTTTTGAAGTGGCTCAGACTTGGTATATATAGATTTTAAATAGTAGCCCGAGCTAAGACACATGCCTCTCAGCCTGTTCCTTGAAGCAGGGATTTAAAATTCTCTGCATGTTCCGGGCTCACCGCCAGTGTCATCCCTACCAGCCATGAGGGGCTGTGTCAGGCTAGCAGGAAGGCAGAGAGAAGCCATGCAGACTGGTGTGCACCAGGGAGCTGATGGTGGTCTGGGGACCTGGGACTCCCGTTTCGAATGAACCTTCCACTCCGGGATGCTGGATCGCAAGTCTGGTCACCTCTGCCTGACACGGTCTCAGCTGTACCCCAATGGAAAGGCTTGTATGTGTTCGGTTGTGATGAAATGTGTCACCAGGAGGAGTTAGGGGCTGGGTGCCAAGTTAAACCTAATTATCAGAGTATCAGTTGGATACTCTTGGAAGTGGGTTAGGAATCTGCACTTATTTTTTTAAAAAAGATTTTATTTTATTTATTTATGCATACAAGAACTAGGGTGTAGACTAGAGGTGCGGAGGGTGAGAGGACTCACCAGAGACAGAGTGGGGAGCAGAACAGGTGGATCTACTGAAATACACTGCTGAGGGGAGCAGCAGGAAGACAGGAGAGGTCTGCTGCGCCATGTGGGTCAGCTCCCTGGCCTGAGATTGAACTCATGATGCAGTGGCTGCAGATAGCTTCATAGTGCTGAGACTTAACCCCTGAGCCACCAGGGAGGCCCCAGGAATCTGCACTTTTAATAAGTGCCACTCATGACCTGTCACTCCTATCCCCTGCTAAAGCCCATAGAATGAGTAAATGATCACGGTGTCATGGCCACAGGCTGATGGGATGCAAGATGCTGCGGCCACTTTGGAAAACAGCCTGGCAGATCCTAAGAGAGAAAATTGTCACAGGATCCAGCAGATCCCCCGTAGGTATCTAGCCCAGAGAAATGAAGACCCAGGCCCACATCACAGCCATATGACATCAGAGTGGAACAGCTGCGAGAGAGACTGAAAGCTGACAACATTGACAATCTGAGCTTTTTGTTAAAATCAAAACCAAATGGGAACAGCCTTGAAAACTCCCTGAGCAGATAAAACTGGTTCAGTCGTACAAGCAGAGCTAAATTGAGCTTATTTTGTGAGACTCCCTTGACCTGGGTTGTGTTTATGCTCCTGGGAATCATAAACAGAACCTGAGCCGTTGCCGAGGTGGACACCAGGTCACCACTGGCCGATTCCCAATCATTTAAGAATGTTCTGTGCTGTGACCGAATCACTGTGCAAGCTGCTTCCCAGCGACACGCCTGAGCCTCACTCCAGGTTTAATTCGAGGGCCCCTGCTTGGCATCCCGACTTTCTGGCATGTGCACACAGATTTTACTAATTATGACTTCAGCAATTCATTGATTTGGCTTCCATTTTTTTTTTGCCCCACCTGCTCCCTGCCTGCGCCTCACCACGCCCCATGGGGGTCTCTGGAGCACCCTCAGCCCACAGCAGGCCAGATGGGATGGGAGGCAGGAGAGTGGGGGATAGTCCTGTGTCCCTCTCTCCTGGGAGACCCAGGGCCAGGGCCTGCCGGAGCCTCCTGGAGGCCTGCCCATCAGGGCAGAGGTCCAGGCGCTCACAGTGGCCTTGCTCCTCTCCCCTCCTGTGGCCTCCTGGGGTCCTCCCCTCCCAGGAAACCTTGTCTCCGTGTGTGTCTCAGTGAGTCTTCATTCTATGTGGGTCCCTGCATTGTGGGTCACTCGACACACTGGGTGACCTCACATTTATCCCGGCTCCCTTCCCCTCCCAGAATCTCCTCCTGGCATGGTGATTGGCCACGTGCACACCCCAGGCCCACAGGTCCCCCCACCCTGGTGCACCTCCTCTTTCTCCAAGTCCACAAACACCAGCCTGACTTCTGGCCTCTTCCGGCCTCTGAATTGATGCCAGGTTTACTCCCCAGGAAGCAGCGGCTGCTGGGGAAGGGCTTCTGTCCAGCAGCAGAGCTGGCATGGAAGGGAGCGGGAGGGGCT